AAACCGATCTCCACTAATTGAGTCGTTTTAAGTGCGTGAAAGATGTTTATCGAGTCGATAACTAACCTGCCTTCTTCATCATCTGTGGGAGCAGTTGCAAGTTCAGTGGCAGGCCGTACGGCTCATCGGGTTTGATAACTCCGTGTTGCAAACCTGGAATATAAATGRATTATCGTTACTTTGTACCCAGTGCTCACGCTGCGGAGTCGGGTCGAGGTTCCCTGTTTTAGCTAGCGACAGTCAAGTGATAATTATATCACCAATATTTTATATAATATAATAATATACATGCACCTATGGTATGAGTTTTGGTAGATAACTAGATAAAGTAGCAAAATGTTTCGCTACCCGAATATCAATATCATGCTTTCCAATAATGCATTTTCTTTAGTTTTGATTTTCTTTTTTGCAAAATGTTAGCATAAAGTTACTATTCATAAATATTGTCATAAAAATCATAGGATAAAAGCTGCAAATTCRGCGAAAAAAATTTCCCGATCCACGATCCAGTTAACCGAGGTCCAGTCCAGTCCATCAATGCACGGTTCCTGTTTTTCCAAAAKAAAAAATYTCTCAAAATTCAGAATTTATAAGCTTAAAACAAATTTTAGAGTTGGAACATGTTTTTACTATAGATCAAGGTTATCTATAACCTTTCAAATGCTGAAATTCGACAAAAATAAATCACTTTGTGATTCAAGATCTGAYATCCAGTCGGGAAATTCCTTTGACTACACGATTTATCATGTTCCGGAATTCAGAAATAAAATTAAAGTTTCAGAAATTTAGCGGTTTTTTTTACTATCATAGACAAAGACTGGAGCGTTCGGTACATTATTTTTCATTGGGTTGTCTGTGTCGTGAACGTGACTCCCCGCGACCCAACTCATGACGCGGCCAAATTCCACCACAGGTTACCCTTGTACTAAAAAATACTATACAAACTAGTGCATTCGTGTAATGTTTACTGAAAACACACAAGTTTGACAGGGGGGAATTTCACTTATATTTAAAAAATTCTAAAACTGAAAATATCAATACCTTAGAGGGGTGGGGTAGGTAATTCGTTTCGTGCCTGATTATGATTCTGACAATAGCAAAGTATAATCAAGCGTTAAAAGAAGAAGTTTGAATGATTCAAATCTTACTTACCAGTGTGTATAGGGTATCTTCCACTCAGTAGAGCACTTCTGGTAGGCGAACAAATAGGCTGCACATAGTAGTTCTCCAGAATAACACCTTCGTATGCTAATGCATCGATATTTGGTGTCTTTATCGATGTTACATTATGGAATCCGACGTCACTCCATCCGAGATCATCTACAACAACCAGAAGAACATTAGGAGGAGTACAATATACACTTGAGAATATAGTTATGAGCAGAACTAAGTATAACATGGTGCTTCTTGGACGGGTTGGGCTGCTTATGATCTCTGTCCTGGTACAAGACAGTACAAATCACTTCGACCGGAAGAATATTTGACCTTGCACCAAGGCAAGAGTAACGCAACACGTTTCGTGCAGTTACTGCTTCTTTTACTCACTTCACYTCCTTCTACTTTTCCTTATTTCTTTACATCCATTCAATCCATTTCAATCAGGTACATTCTTATTCCTATGCGACCATTATCCAATTCATTTCAGATACATTATTATTCCTATACTTTACCTAAAGAAATTGAAATATGTTCTAATCTAAGGTCATAAATCTATTAAACTAGAAGTTCATAACTAGTWATRAACTTCTGATTAAACYCAAAAATGGTTAAATAATTTTCTRACGTTTAATCTGCTTTAATCTTTTCTTAGTTGGTTGTTCAAGAACTTGTCTCAAAAACAACTACATTTCGCTCGGTTTCGAAACGTCATGAATAGAGCGAATTCGTATATCACACTTTAGCATGCTAATGAGGTCTGCTAATATTCAAATACAAAAACAATAATTAAAAAAGACACGATTTTGGAAACACTGCACAACCGTATGACGTTATAGGGAAATTAGAACATTTTATATGCATTATTTTATTAACAAAACATGAAAGTTTCAATTCATTCAAATAAATCATTCTACATTTCTTCGACGAATTTCTACAGTTTTTACTTGAAAAGTCTCTCTGTTTAGGGT